GGCTCTACAGACGACTTTAGGGGCATAGACTGTAACTGAGGAGGTTCTGCAGACCCTCCTCGCCGAAGTGGAGGGTATTCTGAATTCAAAGCCCCTGGGCTATGTTTCCTCAGATGTAGCTGATGCACACCCTGTTACTCCAAATACCCTGTTGATGGGGCGGCCAGATGTGTCTCTCTCCCAGGTTGTCTACCCTGAATCGGAGATATTGAGTAAACGGAGATGGCGCCACAGCCAGGTCTTAGCTGAACACTTCTGGAAGCATTTCATTAAATATTATCCTCCTGCACACCAGACAGAAGTGGCAATTCGAGAGTCCGGACATTCTTGTGGGTGAAGCCGTTATGATTGCAGATCCCCAGCTTTCCCGTTCACTGTGGCCTTCATGGCGAATCACAGAAACCTTCCCAGGACCAGATGGACGGGTCAGAACTGTGAAGGTGGAATAGAGAGGGCGTGCATACACCCGACCTCTCACACGGCTTGTTCGTCTTCCTGCGGCTGTTAAAAAGTCCTCCTGTCAAGTTATGCGTTACCTGCACGGGAGGAGCATAATTCCCCCAGGGTGTGCATCCGTCCTCTCCTTGCTGTGGCAATTAACAGTGTAGTCAGAGAGTAACGCTGCTGCAGGCAAGTTGTGGACTTTAATTGAATCGGACTAAGATGGGCAAGTGTGTGTACATAGACCCAGTAAGTCACATTGGGAACATATTTTATTTCTGTTGCAGTTAATGTACCAATGTAGACACCTGTTATTATTACATTGTGTGTTAGCAGCTATGCTGTAGGAATAAAGTAAGTAGTAGCCTGGCTCCACAGGATATTCCTCATTTCTAAGTTGTTTCAGTTATTGTGAAGAGTTAATGTTCACAAAGATTTTACCTGATGGAGTTACTAAGCTAGCATACGAATCAGTTCTTGTTTATAAAGCCTGCATACACATGGCGGCCTTTGAGTGAGCAATTGTGTCCACTAGAGGGTGGTGTTGACTCACAAATGAGGGAATTGGCCTAAATTGATTATGATTCTGTGTCTATGCCATCCTGTTATGTTATTATGCTAAGCTCCTTCCTGGTATCTGGTTCTGTCCATTTGTAATCTGGTAAGGTGTTCTCTGTAATACTGAAGTGTGAGAAATGCTAAACAAGAGAGAGAGATGTTTATGTTATTTCTTATTTGTATTAATTGCAGAACCACATTTTTACTTGCCAGCGAGAGTGTGTGTTGGATATGGGCTCGTGGTAAATAAAGGTCTTCCACTCTGACATCATTTCCCGTCTCTGACCAGACGTGATTACCAGGGAACAGTACCGAATCATGTTTCAGAGATAGTGGTCCAGGGCGTCTGCTATAACAGTCACCCCTCAACTCTGTTTTGTCCTTCTCCCTTAGATCGCTCAAGTACGCCACCAGCCCCCAGCTCTGTGCTTTCGTTTTCGCCTCATCATCGTACATTTACCCTGTCACTGTAAATAAACCTCACTCACTGCACTCCCGAGTCTCTGTGTGTTTCTGCCATGAGTCCACCCTTTAGAGTCACCTAAGATTCACAAGTAGACATCAAATGTGGTCATCACTGTAGCCTGTGCAAGAGTCTTTTATCATTATTAAATTTTGTGCTGAGATTAATTTGGTGAAGAGTAGTGTGTTATGTTTTTTCCCCCTATAACACATGGGCAGTTTGATACATGTGCTACATTTACATGTGTTAGCATTATCAGTGAGTGTTATCTGGTTTGCCTGGTATTTGTCTTCTGATGTGTTGGTAACTGAATTGTCTTTGTAAGCTTCTTATTAACAGAAAAGAGGCAAAGCTGTGATCAAACAGCATCAAAACCAGATTCAGAATAATTAACTTTAATTAACTTTATAAACCCTTTTTCCAGTGTGAAGAAAAACAAGTTTTGTAAATCCTCCCTTGACCAAAGAAAAAAGTGCAAAGACAATCAATGAAATATTGAAAAATATTGTTTTGTATTTTTCCTCACTTGTTAAAATATATATTCTAATTTAAAATTTCACACCAAAACACTTGAGAGAGTGGAATATTACCACTGTTTGTCATATGGGGAACTAAGCAGGTTCCTTTGAATGGCAGGCATGAACAACACAGAGACAAGTTTAGCACATCGTCTGTTACCTCTATGCTGCTGGAGTACATGCAGAATGTCATTTGCAGTGGTCTTACTGTATTGCGCAAGACCGAACTCCGAAATAACAGATGGTAACTTCATTTCAAAAGATGTATTGACAAATCCAGGCTTGCATAGTGAATTATTGTTGTTATCATTGCACCCTGCCCATAAGGAGAGAGCGAACGCAGAGAAACAAACCAGTGACTTTTCAGACAGGTTAACTGTCAAAGTCCAGTTCCAAGACAATTGGAGAGTCCACAAAAGTCTTTCAGAGACGTCACAAGGCGCTGTAGCCATGTGCTAATACTGCAGCTGAACCATCTGCCAAAGGTGGCTAGTTAGATCGGTCTTTAAAAGCACAGGAGTGTGATCAATAATGCATGTCAGGTGTGTCCAGTTTTTCACCATCCTGATTAACTGCCATGCCCCAGGGCTGCCACAAACATACATACACTCACCGGAGAGACAGAGAGACATTGAGAGATGCTCAGAGTATCTCTCTATCCAGAGAGCAGCAGTTCTATGGGGAAAACACTTTGATGTAGAGAGGTCAGAGGAGACTGCTTTGAGTTGATAGGAAGGCAACAGTAACTCAGTAACCACTTGTTACAACCAAGCTATGAGGAAGTGCAGTAACATTTCTTTGGCATTATTTTCATTCACAGTCATTTAGCTCGGTCATATTATTATACATCATGCTTGTGTTTTGAGCCTAATGTTGCATTTTCCTTTGCATCTCCCTGCATTTTATAGAATATTAAACGTTATCAATTAAATCCATGGTCTACTGAGCAAGGAAAAATGATCCGATTACCAACCTCCACCTACTGCATCCTGTGCAGTGTGTATTTACCCTGCCGCCATCAAGCACCCATTATAATAACACAGAGAGCAGGATAGAAAGGGCAGTTTCATCGCTCCTGTTACAGGACCAATCAGGACAGCGATACCTGGCATGATGCTTTCTACATGTCACAATGAAATTTTACTCCAATTAAAGTTAAACTTTGAAAGACTGGCAGGCAAACAAAGCTGTAGACTATCAGTAGGCAAGACCAAGGTGTATGAACAAAGCATGCAGTTTGTGTTTGGCTTTTGTAGCAGAGGGCTGGTTGCTAGATGACTGGCATGTAGGTTGAGTACTGATTACTGTGTTCAGAGAGGGCGGGCTGAGATAAAAGAGTGAGAGCAGAGAAACAGAGAAACCAAACCAAAAATGTGACAGACACACCTCGGTCAAGGAAATGTGGAAAACAAGAACAACAAAAACATTTGGTTCCATCTTCACAGGAAACATTAGTGGTTGAATAAGTCTCTCTGATCATTTTTTTGAATCTGGAGGTGACTGGGAGAGAGATATCTGTCCTGGATAGCACATTGTCAGCATTGTCATGTTCCAAAAGGAAATTATTACTTATATTAATTTTACCATGAACAGCAAGAGGTAAAATGTTACACATCATATTTATTAGTTTTATATTGTGTTTTATTTATATTTTATATTGTAAGTAATAAATGTGAAATGCTAAAACTTCAAATACTGTACTCTACAAGACCCATCCATCCTTTTCCTGCCACTTATCAAGGCCACGGGGACACCTCGGCATTCCCAAGTCAGCGTGTCCTTGTCCACCTGCTCTGGACACAGCTGAAAGACCTCAGCTTGACGAACCAGATGCTCAAACCACCTCATGCAGCTCTTTTCAATGTGCAGGAAACATGTTTTAATGTAAGAACTGATCTGATTGTATCTTATCGTGATGTGTTAGTGAGGTACATGAAACATGATTTGGGCCACTGGGGGGAAAAGTGAGGGTGCGTTTTGTTTTTTTCTGAGATGAATTCTGAAAGAGATAAAAGCCAAAATTCTGACTTTTTCCTCAGAGTTCTCGACCTTTTCCCCCTCAGACGTTTTGTGAAAGTTGAGATTTAAAAGTGAAATGTTTCGAGAAATGTTTCTTAGGAATTCTGAAAAACTACAAACGAAATCGGGTTAACAAGGTTAAGACTGATTATGCTTTTCCAAGAAAATTGACAGGTTCAACAAAAGGACTTAGGATACAGAATTTGGTTCAGATAATAAAATTTGTACTACAGTAATTCAGACAAGATACTATCCGGTTAACTTGCGCTGTTCCACCAGGAGATGGCGGAAGCAGACTTTAATACGAGATCTGAGCTTCCTTCCGATGTATTCAACTACACGCGTCCATGCGGTCCGAGGAAACCCAAGAGCGAGCGGAACAGTCCAGTTATCTTGTATCCTGATTGATTGCACCCTTATGAAACGTTAAAGCCAGAAATACAATGTGCAGGTCTTTCCGTGTTCATTTCTAACTTTAGGAACCGGATTCATAAAGGCACTGTAAGATGCGCAAAGGTGCCTTTTGTGTAATCCAGCCTCCAGCACTTACACAGCCTCCGCAGGGCTCGCTTCCAGCAAACAGCAAACGGAGCGTTTCTCCCCCACCCAACAGGTAGCTGCGTTTAATTGGATTTTACAGATCATATCGAGGAAAAGGCCACTGGCTTCCAAACCAGTCTCTTTGTTGTTTCCCACCTCCACTTTGACACAGGACCACGGCTTGGCAAGGACCCGAAAGGCGTCATGTGACTCGGCATCTGCTCTCAGTTGTGGCAAGATAACAACGCAGAGAGAGAGAGGGAGAGATAGAGAGTTGAGGAGGAGCTTGCAGCTATAAGATTAACTCCACTCACCATCAGCACCAAAACTTGCATCCATCCTCGTCTCGTAACAGCGCGCGCACACACTGGCGTTTTTATTTGTTTGGTTGTTTCACCCCCGTTGAGAGTTGCACAGGTGCATCCCACGGTTAAGACTCGCTCTGTGCTGAGTTGATTATGGTCACAACCCCCGCGGTGCCAAGGTGGAGCCACCGCGCGTATCTCGAATCGGTGCGCTTCTCCAGGGGCTGGGATGCGCACCGGGCACCTCTCGCTTCCTGCCGAGTTTCGGGTCTGAGCAGGAGTCAAGCGCTGCCCCAGGGCGCAGAGGCAGGAGGACCCAGTCTACCCGGAGCAGGATGCCAGTAATGAGAGGGCTACTGGCCCCGCAAAACACCTTCCTGGACACCATAGCCACCCGCTTCGATGGCACCCGTGAGTAACAAGCAGGAGCTCTCTGATGAGCTCATTATCTCGTGGCTACTACACGCAGTTAAACCGTGTTCTTGATAGAAAACAACGGTGCAATATTAATCTTTATGTGACTGATATACATTTAGGAGTATTTTCAAGCATGCAACTTTAAAAGTAAAAACAAATATGTGCGCTTCTCTCCGCCACATGTATCCGTCTAAATAGTGACGTGCTCTAGGAAAACGTTTTCTCAGAGCCACTGATGGAAAATTTGCGTGATGGCTTTAAGTTCCATAGTAACAGTTTTAGTCTTGTACTCTTTGCTTGTAATAAATGAAGTAGGATTAGTTTAATTCAGTTTTATTTCGTGCTGTAGTTTTTTCTGTTGTGGACACTGTGTCCAAGCTTAACTCTGTGTCATCTGCATGTTTTAGTGATGCAGTTTTAGCAGAAAGGTTCCCCAGAGCGTTTGCACTTCACACCCAGGATGAGCACACGGGAGTCCTGCCTTAGTCTGATCTCTGTCACAGCACTCTATTCTGTTCAAGCACAATAGAGATGCCGGGGAGAGAGAGGAGGCAGGATGCACAGGCCAGTTATTTTTTTCTGTCTTTGGCAAGAGTGTCTTGTGAACAGATGCAATGAGCAGCCCGTGTGTGTTTGGGCCCATGCTGGGTAGGTAGGCGGGTGAGAGATTATATCGTGTTTGGGGTGTTCAGTTCTCCCTTTTTTTTGTTTTGTTTTAGTTTTTTGCATCAATTATTCAGGGTGATTGGAGTTTATGTGAGACTGTGAGCGGTGGTGAGCCAGTGACTTCAATAAACCAGTTATGTGTGACAGCGGGATAGAAAAGATTATGGGACCAGGCAGGGAGCAAGAAGCTCAAAGGCAGATCCTGATCTCACTCAAGGTTTTTCCAACTCCTCTCCCTTCCTCTCCTGTTTGGATATTTAAAATCTCTCACTTTAAAGTATACACGAGTCTTCATGAAGTGTGAGAAGAAAGGCTACAAAGTCTCCTAACGCTGTATCGTGTAGCTCCACATTATTCATAGGAAACACTTAGAGCACACGCAGGCCACACATTGGCTGACACCGAAATTTTAAGGACTCCGCTCACGCTCTCGTTGTCTAAAGAAGAAATGGTCTAAGTGGAACTGTTTCCCTGTGAGCGGCTAAAACACAGGCCTTCCACTTGCCGAGGTGCTGATAATTACACATTTCCAGCCGTACTGGTGCAGCCATTGTAATTAACACGAATGGATGTCAAGAATTCATTGTGGCCTTTCTGCCTGTCAGAGGAGCTTGTGGGAGGCAGGGAGGGCAGGATGGGAGAGTGTGTGTAGCTACTCCTGTGGAAGAGGGAGACATTTCAGACGTCTAAATATAAATCCATTTGGGTTCTGGCTGTGACACAGGTGCAGATATGTGTTTTTTTAAACGGTGTGGCATTAGCTCCTCATTAAAACCGACACTGGTGTGAATGGGAGAAGGCCACCTAAGTGTCTCTCTGTAGAGGTGATGGAAGCTTTGTGTCTGAGTGAATACTGGTGTGTTGATGTGTTTCTGTGAAAAGCCATTTTGTTGGAAGCTGAATCAAATGGCAATAACAATTACTTGTAAATGCCTTTCATCCCTGCTAGAGTGATATCTTTATTTATTTATTATTCACTTTATTTTCTGTTGTTCAAGACTGTTTGCTTTGTGTGGCTGCACCACTGTTTTAGCAGACTCCGTGCCAAATGTGGCAACACCACTAATGCACTTCCAGTAGTCCCTTCAGTTCAGAGCAGGAAAGGCTGTTGAAGACAAACCCTGGAGAGAACGGAAAATGTACATAGCCAATCCATACTGGCCTCACTGACAACACAAAAACCTTTTTGCCACAATTTTTAAATTTGCACAAATGGAATAATTTTACATAATTTGACATTGGACATAGCAAAGGCTGGTAGGTAAACGGTTTTGTGAGGAAGCGGCATGTATAGAGCCAAATGCTCTGGACAACCCTTGTTTTTTGGACACCTTGGGTTTGGCCAATTACCTGCTTTGACTTGGTTGAAAGAAATGTATTGCTTGCAGATTAACGTATCATGGCTGACCGCTTAATAAGATCAGTGCTGCACTAGGCCCATAATAATCAGTCATTTGATCGACAGGGCTCTTCTACATTGCAGATAGAAAATTTGCATATGTTACAATAGGAGAATGCCCAAACCAATAAAAGGAACGACTGCAGTTTTAAAAGCTGAATCTGCTGCGCATTTTAATGTAACATGATGTATGACACAAGCAGAGCCGGATTTACTTCATTTTTGGGACCCACTTTTTTAAGCAGGTGCTCTTATCAGCTTGGCTAGATGAAGCAAAGTATTTGAATATGCCAATCTGTTTCTGACAGGTTCCAGAAGCAGATATGTGATTGTTTAAACAATCAAGAAACGTAAATCGATTTAAACAGGAAGCTTTGAGATGTGAGTCGTTACCTTCTTTGTCTTAAATGTACTCCAACCTTTGCTACGTGAGCAAGAACTGTATTTAATGCATCCCTCACATTACAGCTGACTGCTTAATAAAACCGGTCTCTGGAACAGGCCTGTAACATTTAGTCAGTTTACTGACTGGTCTCTTGTCAGAGGATTAATTGTCCACTTTTTCAATAATCAGTTAAATTGATCTAGTTATTCATCAAACTCATTGGGATCAACCCAAAGTTTGATATTATATGCTTTTTAAAAAAAACCCTCTAATTTGAAGATTTCAACTTGCTTAAAAAAAAACACTTCTCAAAAATTTTCTTACAATTAATTGAAAACAAAATAAAAAAAAGTTGCAGGCCCAATCTTCACTCAAGACAGTTGTTCCATTCATTTCTATCTGAAATATTTTACTGGTTAGCCTCACATAACAAAATGGAGCTACTTCATCCAAAGTGTAAAACAAAAAGATTTTGTATACTTTAGGTAATTTTTGTGCATTTGACACTGAAGACGTGTTGCTGATGTTCTCGTCTGCTGGCAGTAGATGAAGGAGTTCAAACAATTAAAGAGAGAGATTCCATCTAGATATAAGAACAGACATGATGTCACACACATATGGGCTTGAGGTGCTGCATCCCACTGCAGACATCAAAGCTTCTGAATCATACACTTGGAGGAAGGTTATTATTTATAGACCACTGTCGTGGTGAATGCTGTAGCCAACAGCCCTCAAACAGCATGACGGAAAGAACATACAGAGTCACACGTTTTAAACACATTTGTCAAATGATCTGTGATTTAATGTTTGTTTTTTCATTTTGTCATTCATGGATTCTTGCAATCGTTATCATTGAGATTTTTTGGAATTTTTAATATAGAGAAATCATTCTGGGGGAAAGTGGTGAGGAAGAATATGGAAGGAATTAGTCCTCAGCATGAACCTCGTGCTCGGTTCAATCAATGTTCATTTGCTGCAGTGCTCCCTAGAAAAGACGGCAGCTGTGTGGGACTGAGTCAATTGGTCCTATTAATTGAGTGGGTCTTGGCTTGGTCTTAATCAGGTTAGGCCAAGAGCTGTGCTCATCACATGGACTTCCTGGTCTGGCACTCTGCATAAACTGCCAGGAGCCACGCTAACATCCTTTCTCATACTTCATTCAAAAATCCAAAAGGAGATTACGTGCATGAAGAAGGACAAATTATCATACTGTCAAGAGTAGAATTTCTATATTATTTTTAAAACAAGGTGCACTTGCTGTGTTTCCCAGATAGTACCAAATAAAATAAGTTGCAAATCAAGACTTTACAAATTTTGCACTAATGTCAGCATGGATTTGAAAGTTTCAAATCAATAAAAGTGTCACTTAGGCTGCTGAAAAAATCTTCTTGTATCATATTTTAGTTTAGAAGATAGAATATATAGAATTATTATGTTGAACGTGTTATGCACACAATACTGTCTTTGCAGCAAAGCCTGTTTGCTCCAGTCACACAGAAATGAGGTATATTTTCTCACTTTAACTCTTCTCACTCTAACAGCTGAGATAAGTGTCAAATTATCTGACAGTCCTCTTCACTGTTTCTCCTCCTTCATTAGTTGCCTCCCACCTTCCCCTTTTGTTTTTCACATCATATTTTTTACAGGTAGGTCCATGTGCATACGTGTAAGTGAGAAACCAAGTGCACATATCCTCAAACCTACAGGCAGGAAAACTTGTCACCACTTCACCGTGCCCGTGTTTGTGTATCTGTGTGCTCGCTTATGTTTGACAGCACAGATTAATGGTGAAGCGTGATTGTGTTTCGTGTGTGTTTCCCCTGTGGCTCTTTGTGCTTAACCCCCACCCCCTTCCCGGTCTTTTGTCAGGCAGGAATAGATGTAATGATAGTCCTAATAAAGAGTAGCCTAGCCTCTGTCACTTTATGGTATTAGCAAGCCGCACTCATTATATTCTCCACCAAATAAAAAGACTGAAAATCTACATTAATGCTGCGAGGTCCACGAGGCTGTGTTTAGGCACAGTGGTAATTTGAGCTAAAGCGGATGTAAATAACTGGAATGTGCTAATGTGTTTAGGATGGGTGCGTCTCAAATGTCATACTTCTGCACTTGTGCTAAATGCTGTGTAATACATGTACTTGGATGCTCTAGCTTAGCTTAGGGGTTAGGGTTAGAATCAGTAAACGTTTCCTCGGTGGTCACCATCTTTGCTATGTAGCTAAAAAGAAACCTGCACCAATTTTCAACCAGTATGAACTAGCTAATAGTTGTTATATCTGTTAACTTGCTAATATTTAAAGATATTTACCAGGCATTCATGTAATTAATTAACTAATGTGTTGTGCTGTTTGCTTTTTATTTTCGTTAAGCTGTTGTCTTCACTCTAGAAGAATTTTGTGTCATATTTTTGGTCCAAGGTTTGGCATGCAGTTGACTTTAATATTCAGATATTACAGTCAACACTTCTGAAAGTGTTTGAGACAACACTAGCCTGTCAAACTTCAGACTACACAGTTACTGCAGAGTGTGTAAGACAACTTG